AATATTGGCATCGTCTATTTAATAATATTTTACTATAAAATTAATCATTATAATTTTAATATTTTTATAAAAGTTATAAAAAAACTTCATATAAAATAATTTTTAAACATTAACTTAAACTTTTCAAATATCTAACTTAAAATCTCATTTTATTAGAATATATATATTTATAAATCAAAATTTGCTTATTAACAAATAAAAAATTAATTATATATTTTTTATTAGTTAAAATTGATAAAAATTTATATACATTGTATCATCTAAATTATTCATTTTTACACATAAATAATTAATTAAAATTATTTTAAGTTTATTTCAATATTATCAATGAAATGAAATGATAAATATACTATAAATGTATTTATATTAAATTGTAGAGCTTCAAGATAATTTACTAATGTTAAAATGCTATAATCGGAGTATGAAATCATGATATATTATGATAGAATATTACGATATATATTAATTTATTGATACGTTGTTATATCGCAATCACTTACAATTGTTAAATATGTAATAGTTATGGATACAAATTATCAAAAATTTTAATAGTATCAATATATTTCTATTATTAAAATGAAAAGAGTTTGAAACATACATATTTTATAGTTATAAAAAGATTAATGAAAAGTTTAATTAAATTGAAATCAATATATAATAATATAGAATAATAAGTTGAAATAAAACTTACAGTGATAGTTCAACTGTATGTTGTGTAATAAATACGTAAATGATGAATTATATGAGATAAATGAATGAATGAGATGAATATATGAATTTTATATTATAAATATCATTACTACATAAAATATATTAATTGTAATAATCTATATTCTATGTTTAAATTTAAAATAATTATTTTTATTCTATTGTATCTAATTAATAATATGTACATAAAAATAAGATTATTACACAATAAAATATAAAAAATATTAAAACTCATAACTACATACACATTACTTATATTATTATTTTTTAGTTGACTTTATAGCATGAATATTAGTATTTTATTCTTTAAAGATTGCTTTTAATATTATTTTCACATTGATTATTAGTGTAACATTTAATTATGTCAAATCTAAGAAGTTAGTTGGATGTAACAAGTTGACTGCTGAATGTATACGCTTGTTTTAAGGTGAAAATTACATTAATTGACATTTTGAAATAAATTATTGTACTTACGTAGACAAATTTGACGCTAAATAATTAAATTTTTCAATTAATTGCAGTAATCTATAAATCAATTATAAACATTTATGATTTCATTATAGATATAAACCATTTTTTCTTTACAATAATAAACTAAATTTTAAGTTTGATATATTACTATGAGAATTTAATATATAAGTTTAAAATCCTTATTCTTCATCTTCAAAATACTCATTAGATGTATTTCAATCAAATCACATCAAATATTTATATATACACAATCATATATTTATAAATGCTCAACGAGTAATATTATTGACAAGTTATTATAAATTTTAAATTTAACTTGTATTATTAAAAATTAACCATGTTTTCAAACATTTTTCATATTAAAAATGTGATTCATATATACACACACCCGAATACGAACCCACATATATTATCATATAGCTTATTAATATATACATAAATTATTATTTATATAAAAGCTTAAGGTAATATTATAATGCTAATAAAATTAAATGTATTCTTTAAATAATTTTAGATAAGGCTTTATACATTTTAAACTATTATTTTAAACATTTCTGTACCATTATATCTTACATAAATACTGTTTATATCTAATATAAGAATGTCGATTTTAATTACATTTAAAGCATTTTTGATGTAAACACGGTTATTTTAATATTAATTATAAGGAATATATATTAAAATTACTGTAATATACGATCGCTAGTACGTATGCTACTTTTTTCATTTTTACTTATTTGCAGTAAAAAAAATATTATCATCAGAAATTATTATTTAAGAAATTATAAATTTTCTTTAATTTTGTCTTTTATCTTCGCGGTTATAGAAATAGTCAACAAGACTAATGTTAGCTTTCATATTATCGTTTTCATTCATATGTTCGTCATCATCAACCATATTATCATTCGCAATATAATTTTTATTGCTATCATCATTCTAATCATTGTCGTCATCTATATTTACACCATCAACCGCATCATCAATCTTAACGCCATCGTCATCGTTAATCACATCTTCATTCTCATCGTTATTCCCACGTCATTCGCATTGTGACTAGTATCACTTTCTTCATGTAATTATTTAATTTATAAAATAGCTTTATGACTAGTCTAAAACTCGTTAATTAAAAAAAAACATTCAAGATTATTATGATAGACTAGTTTTTATTTCTAATAAATATCTGATTTTTTAATTTATTTTTATAAATATTACTAATTTTAATTAATTCCATATATAAATGGTATTTTTTTAGTATATATTCAATTACTAAATATCCCACTAGTGAGTAGGTAAGAAATATATACTTTTAATTTAAATTATTAATATAAAAAAAATTAGTCAATTATTAACTAAATTAAATAAAAATTTTAAGAAAATTTCCATTTCCATTTTAAATTACGTATCTTTAATGTATTGATGATGAATTTTATTATAAATTTCATTTATAAGTTTTTGGCTTTATACGTTAAATTATTATAATTTCTTTCAAAATATTATTTAATTTAAAATCTTTAAATTATGATGTATGGAAATATACTATTTTTTCACAAATTAATTAAAAATATTTTACAATTATACTATTTAAAAAAATAATAAAGTATTTGTTTTATTATTATTATTATTATATTATATATTAACAATTATATATTATTAATATTACATTATATATTAACAAAAACTTAACAAAACTCATAGAATTATTTAATTTTTTATCTTACTAACTTCAAAATCATAATTTCAAACATTTTCGGCCGTTTGAAAATCTGATTATCGTTACTCAGCTGATTTTATACAAAACCTGTTAGCTATAAAAATGTTAGTTCAATCTACTTTTAAACGTAAGGAACTATTTTTAGCTTAATACAGGAATAAAAAATATTATTTTTAGTAATTATTTCGAAAATTAAAATAGCTTATGACTACTCCAATATTATATAATTTTATATAATTATTCATATTAGAGATTGCTTTGAATTAAAGGATTTTTTATTAAAATCAATATTGTTATAAAGTGCATATGATTTTTATTGTTTTTAATTTAATTTATTTTGAATTAATTTTTCAACATTTTTTTATCAAAGAAATTTAATGTGTTAATAGTATAATGAATGAAATTATATTCTACTCAAATGATTAAAAAAAATTTATATTTAATTTAAATCTATTATTTAAATATATTTATTTTCTGAGACCATTATTATTTGTTAGTAAATACAACTAAATAAAATATATCAATTGTAAAATAGCGTATTTATTTTAATTAAAGAAATATATTAAAAAAAAAATTTTGTTTACTTGATTAATATTATTTTAAGTATATTGTTTCTTTTTTTTATTGAAATTCTTCTAACTTTAATAAATAATTTACAATAAACAAATTTAATGTATAAAGATACATTAAAAACAAAAATAAAGAAAAAAATTAAACGGATGATATTATTTTATTCTTTAATGATATTATTTGATGAAACAATATATTTAACACAATAATAAAGTTTATAAATTATAAAGAATTAAGAGATAAAAACGGTTTATATTATTTTTTTAGTTTTAGAAAGAATTATTAAAAAGAGAGGGATATTATAAGAAATATATCTAGAAAGTTTTTTAAGAAAATGTGGTGTCGCAGGCGAAATCCTTCAACAACTTTCCTTCTCTGTAGCTGACTATCTGTCCTTTATGAGTGTTGCTGTAGGTATGCGTAAGTGGGGAACAAAGGCGTGAGACGCTCTCCCCTATCGGTTGAAGTTGTGGAAGGGCAATGTGACTAGAGTTTTGAAGCCACGCCTTGTAGAAGCGTTAACGCTCCACCCAGAAGTTCCCCTACTGGTGAACCTGTACCTCTCAGATAGAAGAATCATCAAGTGGGGAAGGGAGAATGCAAGACTTTTTGATTTTGGTGGGGCGCAAGATCGACACGGAGGGGCGGGGAGCGAACAGTTCGGCAGCGCGACCCGACCTGGGCACTTCGCTGTCCGGCATTTGATCATTAAAATATTACTCATTATTTTGGCATATTTTCTATATATCTATGCGAATATTGCAAGTACCTGTTGTAATTGTTAATTTATGTGCATTTTAATTAAATATAAAACACTAATTAAAAATATATAGTGATTCGAAAAGAGACCAATAAAATATTCCTAAAGAAACAGTACAATTACTATTGTGTATGAGTTACTATGTCTACATGGACTATCATTTTTATATAAATTTAATTGGTATCATGTTGAGCTGCACAAACGTATTTTAATTTATTTTAAATATGAAAGATAAAGAAACAATGAAAACCAAGAAAACTAAACTTATTTACAATAAGTGCAAATTATTAAATTAAGTGTTATCAATGCATTGAAGAACAACAATATAATACTCTCACGCCAATTGTCATGACTTTATGGTGGCTTTTTAATTAATTTTTGATGGAGGGTATAGTCATTTTTCATTATTTTTCGATTTCATAATTATATTCAAAAACAGGACCATATATCCGTTCTTTTACGTTTAGACAGAGATTTTCCATATTTGCTATGTATGTTCCAAGGCAGTATTAAATGTCTTTAATTCAATAAATTAACAATTACTTGCAAATTCGTGATCAACAATTGTTCCTGTATGCGCTTTGCTGAATGTGATAGTCGAAGTGCCAGATTAAATATTGATAACTCGTTTATAAGATCTACGATTCACATTTCGAATGGATTGCTATTATCATTATTGTGTTATAGTCATCGTTTAAAAAGTTTTGTGAAATAAAACTTGTGCTGTGATCTTTTTTCTTTATGTCATATTAGTGTAAATCTTTAGATATTTTAATTACTTCCATTAATAAATGGTTTTAAGTTCAGTGATTGTTCACGAAGTGCAGTTGTTCAGAGAACTAAATTAATCTACGTAAATTATGTCTTCAGGTAAATTGTAATATATAATAAAATAAAATTGGTTACTAGTTAAAATTTTAAGTTAGATATTTTTTCATAAATTAGTATTACTTAATGCTAATTATATATATAATTTCTTAGTAGCCAAATTATTATTAATTTATATATCATATTCGTATTTGAAATGTTGATTATTACTTGAAATTTTTTAATCATTTACAGTTACAGCTTTTAAATATCATTATATTGCGTAAGATTGAAATATGAAAACATGCATATATATATATATATATATATATGATAAATGTACTTTATAATTATAGAATATTCCATTTATTTGTATAATAATAAGCGATTTTTTATGAAAAGTAATTATTTATATAAATTTGGAATTGGTTGTCTTCATATTTAAGTCTTATGTCCGACGGACAACGCGAGCGTTGAAATCTCCGAGTGATTCAAACAACGAAGAAAGTGATTTTCAAATATATGGAATTATTTTAAAAACTTTTAATATTCATAATTAAAAGTAATATTTAAATATATTTTTAAATTACATATTTGAATCTGGTTTATTAGTTTTCTACATTTTATATGTTTATTAATGTAATTAATTATTCATTTTTATTTTATGTAATATTTATGTCGAAATTTAGTAAACTGCTACTTCTATTATATAATCTTTTTTTCAAATTCTTAATAAATAGTATTAAAAAATATATAAGTTTATTAGTACTTGTTTTAAATTATGTTACATATTTTTATAATAGATAATTAAAATAATAATTTGTAATTAAATACTATATCCATATAAATGCTTCTGTATTTATTTAATAATAATTATTTATATTCTTTATATATTACATTTAATTAACTAATAGTCAGTAGTTTTTTTATACATTCGGTAAATTTCTGTCTAATGAAAGGTATTGCTTTATTTATATTTATATTAATAACAGATTAATAGTAAATAATTAGTTTTTACTTCTTATACTTAAAAAAATTATTTTATTTATTTTAGTATTTGTCACAATATATTATAGTTTCCTAAAAATCAATCATAGCAATCAATAACTTTTATGAATAATTATTTAATATTTATAAAAGAATAAGGTATTTTTAATATAGTTGATAATAATATACATTCTTCAATGAATTGTAAATAATTGTTAATTATTCAAATACGAAATTATTATTGATACAATTAATTAAATTGTTTAATATATACAAAAGAATTTATACAAAATTTTTATATTTATATAAAATTCTATGTTGAAAAGGTAAGTATTTTATCTAGAATTATCTTTTACATAAATTATCAGCTCATTAACACAGATGAATGATTAAAATAAGTGGATGGTATTATATTTTAATTAAATTATAAAATTATATTAAATAAAATAATAAAATACGTATTTGTACAATGGTAATTATATGTAATTAACGAATTTTCAATATAATTTTTTATATTGTATATTTGAAAATTGAATTTGATTTCTTATAGGATAAGAACGCATGCGCAAGTGTGTATAAATTGGTGACGTAAGACTATCGTAAACATTTCATGTTTAAAACTTGATAAATTGTATTTGATATATTTTGAATATATTCGATTCGATAAAATTTATATTTTAATTTTTGATAATCATTTATAAAATATACGATAAAATTTAGTATTAAATAAATTAATTTGAATATAATTTTTTTATAATAGCTTACATTTGTTAATTTTTTTCATGCTCATATAAAATTTATATTAACTGATACTATTTAGTCAATTTTGTTTATACGATTATTTTATGGTATAATTATTTATTATTACAATAAATATTTTTACTTTTATATGATATAAATGCTTTTCAAACGAGGAAATTCGAATAAAGCTAATAACTATAATATTTTATAATTTATTTTAATATAATAGATATGTTTATTGCTAGCTACATTCAATTTTTAATTCTTTACAAAATGACAATACAATAAAAATTACATTTGTTATAATGTTTAGTATAATAAAAATGTTTATTGTATATAAAGTTTATTGTATTTAAATATATATATATATATATATATCTATTTTTTATTAATATTGAATTCAAATGAGAAAAAGCATTTTTCTCATGTAATTTTTTCACAAAAATGTAATTTTTAAGCCTTATTTGTTAGATTATTTTTTAATTTTTATTTCCATGAATTAATTTTATATCTCATTTTAACATAGATTTTAAAAGTCAATATAAAATTAACAATATTTGAAAATATTAAGTAATATTGAAAAAATTAGTTATAAATTCTGATTAAATATTACTATAATATTTAACATTATTTATTATAAATGTGTATGTTAGTAATATTTTTATACTGAATAATTTGTGTAATGCTACAAATAATATTACATATTATATTCGTTATACAGTATGTAATTTTATATATAATTTATGCAATTCTACATATAAAATTATATATAATATATGTAATCCTGTATATATCCTGTAATATACATGTTTATGTCAAAATTTAATTAACATAACTTTATTTACATTTATTTTCGTAAGTAATCAGATAAAACAGTAAAATTTATTATTAAAAATAAAAATAAAAGAGTTTGTACAATTAATTATTACATTTTTTATTTTTATAAAAGTATTAATATATATTTATTAGTTTTATATAAAATCTTACGTTTATTAATAAATGTACTTTATTCTAAGTATTTTTAATGATTAAAAAATTATATTTATTACATTATCAAGTTAAGTGTTATGAAAATTTTACTAGTTTAAATAACGATAAATGTTCTCTTAGTTATTGGTTTTGAAAAATTATTCATTTTGATATTATTTATATAAAATGATATAGTTCATTTTACATGAGAGTAAAATTTGTGAAACTACAACATCTTTACATGTAAAAATATTGAATAATATAGAATAACATGTATGAGTTTTAATTTTATATTTATTATATATTATATTTTATGTATTTTATATGATTACTACAGTTTTGAAATTTTCGGCATTTAAGATGTCAGTAATAGTGGTGATTTATATATCTTATGCATATATATGTCTATATACAGTTTATTCTTCTTACCTTATAAATATTATTATTGCGATATAATTAATTCTACATATTGCATTTAAACTAATGTATTTTTGTAACTATCGATTTAGTTTTTTCTGTTATAAATAATTGAAAAGATTTAAAATTCTATTTCTAAAACGGTTAAATTTTATTATAGTAGTTATATAAAAAATATATTAAAACAATCTCATATCTTGAGACAATCAGTATCAATATTTATTTTATTATAACATGATAAATCAATTAAATAATGTTGCTTTTTTATAATCATTATTTTGCATTAGAGTTCTCTTATTTATGTTTCAATTATTCAATATTCTAGAACAAAATATTAAAATACTTAAAATAGAAATTGATTATTTTATTATTATATATCAAAGATTTTCATACTTTCATAGTAGTTACAGATAATTAGGATACATTTAATAATTAATTATAATTGAATAATATCAACAATATTAATAATATTAAATAATCCTTTTCTTATAATATTTTCACATTCATAAATATTTTTAATTAACATATTAGGAATTTTATGTTTATTTAAGATTTATAAGTTTTTTGTATTTTTTTTTTTTTGCAATCTAATATTAAAATATAAAGTTTTTGCTAATATTATAATTATTAATATTGCATATTGAAAAACTATATTACAACTTTCAATGTTAAATATAATAAATTAGTATTTTCTTTATACACATTATACATGCATGAATTTATGAATAATTCATTGAGTCTTGGAAACAACTCCGAATATTTTTTAAATATACTTTTAGCTTTTGAATTATATTATTCGTGTTTTACTTTTTGTTTGAAGTATATATAATTATATATATGTATATATCATATAATTATATAAATAATCATACTGTACAGCAATAAATAAATTATAATCTTAGATTAAACATAGTAAATTGCAGTTGATAACATTATTACCAATCGTTCTAAATTGTTTCAAGTTTTTAATTCAGTTTTCAATTATAGATTGTGACGTCAGAATGATTTTTAGAGTTTAGAAAATGTAAGATTTAATATAAAATTTTATACAATTTTAGATTTAGATTATGATTTGATTTTTTTTACATTGGTATTACTTTATAAAATAATTTTGTTAAAAAAATATTAATAACTTATTTTAATTTATTTATAACCTTTAGAAGATTTAAAAAACATTTTTTATCTACTTTAAATTCAATTTAAATTTGTCTAATTTATTTCATGTAATTAATATAATATTTATTTTATATGATATTTTTATTATTTATTCCATATGAAGAAATTCTACGCAATGTAATATAATATTATGTTTCATGAAAAAGTAAGGATTAACGTAAAGGATATGTCTTAGGTAACAAGTTATGAATAGCAAGGATAAAAAATAAGTAAGAAAAATATTGAATAATGTTTTCACTAATAGTATTGAATTAGTATTAAAGTTTCTATGTTAATTAATAATATATTTTTTTCTAAATATATTATCGTATTTAAACTAAAGAATTTATCTATAGAAATTATTTAGCTGCAATTAATATAATATACACTTTGAACATATATTATTTAACAAACATTTCAAATCCTACAATTCATGCATGAATATTATAGAATAACAGAATCACAATAGCAATTGCATAGAGTATACAAAACCAGGAATTGTATTTCAAATTAAGATGTGAGGTATGATAAAAAAATATATGTTAGGTTATATATATTTTAGTTTAGTATAACTTATATATCATATATCATACGATATTAAATCTAGAATACATTACAATATTAATACAAATTATTTCTGGAGGATATTTTATGTATTGTATGAAAAATATAATATGGAAAGTTAAAAAATCAAAATATTAATTAAATACAAAAATTTATTATGAAAATAATAATACACTTTGATATTTTATAATTAAACTTCAATTTAATATTTATTTTATCAGTAAAATATA